GTTCTGAGGACAGACAGATGGAAGAATGGGGAGGAGGAGGAGAGGCACATGGGGTTCAGCAAGGGAGAAGCCAACAGCCTTCGGGGCCGGGGAGGATGGAGAGTGCTTTGGGGTTTTGGGTCAGGGTCTGAGGTGATCAATTGCAGAAGCGTTACACGGTGGCCTGCTTTCTTTACTCATCTCCTTGGGAAGGTCCCAGTTCCCCTTGGTTCCTTTGCCGTAAAAGGAAGAGGGAGTGGTCAGATGAATCTGAGGAGGAGCCCGAGGAGGAGACAGAGAAGGAGCGCACCCCTAAGCCTGAGGAGACCTGGGTGCTGGAGACACTTCAGGGGCTCAAGATGAAACTAAAGCGACGGCGAGTGTCACCCGTGCTCCCTGAGCACCACCAGGCCTTCAACAGGCTGCTTGGTAGGAGGACACCCCAGACAGCACTTCCAATCCTTTTCTTTTAAAGAAGAGGAAACTTCCCATAACCATACTTTCCCATGAGAAATATATGCTTCCCCAGTGGGTGGGCTCTCCATGCGGGAGGACTCAGAAATGATCTCTCATGAGGGGGCTTAGGAGGCCACAGACGATTCAGCTAGACTTGACCAAAGTCTGCGATTGGAGTAAGAAATCCTGGTTTCAGGCAGGGCGTGTGGCTCATGCCTGAGATCCCAGGAGGTTGAAAGATTGAGGCAAGAGGATTGCTTGAACTCAGAGCTTTGAGGCTACAAAGCCTCATTCTGAGCTATGACTGCACCACTGCACTCCAGCCTGGGTGACAGAGCAAAATGCTGTCAAAGAAGGAAAACCAAGGCTGGGCACAGTAGTTCATGTCTATGATGCCAGCATTTGGGAGGCCGAGGCAGGTGGATATATTGAGGTCAGAAGTTTGAGACCAGCCTGACCAACATAGTGAAACCCCGTCTACGAAAAATAAAAACTCAGCCTGGTGTGGTCGCACATGCCTGTAATCCCAGCTATCCAGGAGGCTGAGACAGGACAATCGCTTCATCCCAGGAGGGGAAGGTTGCAGTGAGCTGAGATCAAGCCACTGAACTCCATCCTTAGCAACAGAGCAAGACGCCATATGAAATAAAGAAATAAATAAAAAATAAAGAAAAACAAAATCAAAAAACAAAGAAAGCACTTTCAGTTGTGCCCTCAGAAACGTAACGTCTCTTGCTGACTTTTCTGAACCTAAGTATCTCCATCCCTAGAGGGGGATACCAAGGCCATGGTCACACCTGATGTGACTGTATCATGAAGAAACGATGGGAATGACTTTATGACTCTGCAGTGGTCCCTGCGTGTCTGTGGGGAAAGCATCCTGGCTTCTTCCCAGCTCTCCAGCCGGTAGATTCTCACACCCAGGGCCTCCTTCAGCCTCTTCTCAGGGCAGTCTCAGAGCAGGAGCCTCTCTCCCTTGCCCAGTGAAAGTCATTCTCTCCTCTCCCATCCACCTCACCCGCAGCCACCATCCTGAGACTTTCCCTAGGGAGGCGCAGTTCTCCTGGCTGCCCTGTTTCTCCCATGGTAACTCCTTTCTGCTTCTCATGCTAACATCTGCTCTCTAATCACAGAGGATCCTGTCGTGAAAAGATTCCTGGCCTGGGACAAAGATCTGAGGGCATCCGACAAGGTAAGGTCGTTCTCCACGCAACTGTCTTCCTGTTCCAACACACAGCCTGGGGGAGGGCACAGCTTCCACACCCACAGTTCCCGTCCCCTCTCCCTCCACCAGCTCCCAGCTGATGCTCCACAGTCTTATTTTATTTTATTCTGAGACAGAGTTTTGCTCTGTTTCCCAGGCTCAGGGCAGTGTCCCTATCTCGGCTGAATGCAGCCTCCCCCTCCAGGGTTCAAGTGATTCTCCTGCCTCAGCCTCCCAAGTAGCTGGGATTGCAGGCGTGCACCACCATGCCTTGCTCATATTTGTGTTTTTTGTAGAGACAGGGTTTTGCCATGTTGGCCATGCTGGTCTTGAACACCTGACCTCAGGTAATCAATCCACCTTGGCCTGCCATAGTACTGTTTACTACAGTCATGAGCCACTGTGCCCAGCCACCTCTGACCGTCTTGAGACGTGACACCAACCCAGGTTTTTATTTTTTGTTTTTTTGAGACAGAGTCTAGCTCTGCTCCCTAGGATAAAATGCAATGGCCTCTAATTCCTGGGTTCAAGCAATTCTCCTGCCTCAGCCTCCTGAGTAGCTAGAACTACAGGCACATGCCACCGTGCTCGACTCATTTTTGTAATTTTTGGAGAAAGAGGGTCTCACTATGTTGCCCAGGTTGCTCTCGAATTTGGGCTCACGTGATCCTCCTATCTCCGCCTCTCACAGTACTGGGATCACAGGCTTGAGCCGCCACTCCCAGCTGTTCTTGGTCTTTTTATGATTTGTCAGCATCTCCCTCGGGACTCTGCTGGTTTCTTGCAGAGTGAATGAGCGGCCCCTGCCTCTCCTAGGTGTCCTTAGGGATCTGAGCCGTGGGACGCAGTCTGGCCACAGCCCTGAAGCTCCCGGCCCCTCTACTCTCACCTCTTTGGGACAGTTCTCTGCCTGGCACACACAAGACCCACCTGACGCCAGCCAACCTAGACACACTCCCTGCAAAGGTCCCATCGGAGCTCAGCATCCTGGGAGCACCACCGACATCCCTTCCTCCAGCTTCTCAGATTTGCATCTGACCTTCTAATACCCCTCCACCTCACTATTTCCCAGTGAGCACAGTCACCCCAACGCCGAGTCCCTCCTCTGATGTGCAACCCCTCCCCTGCCCCCATTCCCCATCTGCATGAGCTTCCTCTTCTAAGATGTGACCCCTCCCTCTCTGTGTTCCTTTCTCTCCATCAGTATCTCCTAGCGATGGTCATAGCGTATTTTAGCCGCGCCGGCCTCTTCTCCT